AAAGCGCTGTGAAATAGTTTATTTCCTGTTTAAATACAAAGTATTCAAAGAAGTCCCTGGAATTCAAGTCTTTGGGAAAATTTTTTTTTAAATCAAATGAGAAGTTTGCAAAACCGAAAGACATGAATGGAGGGGAACATACAACCTTAATAATCTCGGTCCATTGAGAAACATTTCAATGTAACAAAATCTGAATGTAGCAATTTAAACGTTTGAATGTAGCTATTTAACCATTTCAGTCTACTGTTATTCTTAACCCTCTAAACCTGAGATAAAAGGTCCCCTCCAAAATTGCATGAGATGTAGTCACTGATGTTTAGGAAAGAACTGTTGTCAAATACAACATAAAGCTGGTAGGTAAACAGGTATGTTTAAATCTCTTTCCCACCCCCCACTACCTTCACTTACGCTGTTTTAAAAAGCAGATCAATAGTGACACTTAATGACACCTGAGCTATAAAAATTCCCAGTATCAAGCATGACAAGAAACATGTTCACTTTGGATACTAAATTCAAATATGGTTTCACTGATGAATTAACTCAGTACACTACTTCCTACTATTTTGTCAAGAATCTAAGGGTTCGTATCAGTGCTTAATTATTAGGAACTATCCAGACAATTAAGAAGAGTAGGATTCTTTAACGAAGAGTTTTGTGAAAATATGCTGAACGTAGTTTTCCGGATGTTGAAAAGTGAAGACGTCCCCTAGGATTCGAAGGAAGTTGATGTTTAAGTCTTTCCTACGACAGCTGTACCCGCCTGTAACACTTTTGTGGTGGTAACACTGTACCCACACGAACCAGAATAGATGCAAATGCTAAAAACCTTAGAAATGTTTTTACAAAAGAAAACTACAATTTGCTTTCACTAAGGCTCACAGTCACCAAGAACTAGAAGCTTTCTCCTGGACACAACCAAGAGTACCTAATTAAGAACCACGGGGGCCTCTTTTCATCCTACTCATTTCTTCCATAAAACTTCTAAGTTAGATAAGAGCAAAAGGTGGAGAGGCCCCACCGGAAGTAGAAACCTGGGGCTTGCAACTTCACAAACAGAGGCGTCTCGGGTTCCTCCGCCGCCCCAGGACCAAACGGACCGTCTCCACAACACTACAACACCCTCGGGCGCAGGAAGAGCAGCAGCATCACAGCTGCACTCCTTCTCCCCCCACCATGCATCACCCTCGGTATTCCTGGGCCTGGAGGATCCTGAGACCCGTTATCCACTTCAGTGTCCCCCATCTTTACACAAAAACAAAAACACACAAGTGGCAGATGATCTGCGTGCACTGAGAGACATGTGAAGAGCCGCAGCTGCCGGGAAGGTGGCAGAGCAGACTAAAGCGGGCCCGGACTCGGCTCCCGCCGCTACCGCCTTGTCTTCTACCCCAGGAAGCAGCGCGGCGGCAGTGGCTACTCCGCGCTGGCGGGAGCCCCAGGGAGAGGAGTCCGAGGACAGCCCAGCCGCCCGCGGACGGGACCGGGCCTGAGATCTAGAGCTGCCGCAGCCGCGGCCGGAGCACAGCGACGCTTTACGTCCACCCCCCATACACACCCCCTCCCTCCACCACCGCCACCCCCCTCCCCGCCCGCTCCGCTCTCCCTTTCTCGATTGGAGCCGAGACAAAAGCAACGGGAAGCGGTGGGCCGGGACGCTACCCGCGAACCCCGGGCGCGACCGGCCCGGGCCCGAGACATTCCCCTGCCTTGCGGGGACCCCGAATCCGCCGCCCCCGCCGCGCGCCCCGCTGCCAGACTTCCGAAAATTTGCCAAAAACTCACCGCATGAATTTTCTTGTCCCGCGGATCCAAGATGGCGACGTATCCACCGCGGAGGCTGCTGGGAGCAAGACCTTTACCCTCTGACCCCCGCCGTGACCCCCGTCGCTCTAGCTTCCCTTAAGGCGGCAGCGGAAGGTGGGAGCTGCGATGGCCCGCGGACACAGGGTAGGGGGTGAGTAGGCCGCTTCCGCGCTCGTGTAAGCCCGGAGGGAGACGCGCTTCAGTCTCCCACCACCCTCACCGCGGCTGCAGCGTCTCTTACCGATCCGCGGGGCGGCTGGTGGCCCGCTGAGGCTGTCCCCGCTACCGGGGCCTCTGCAGCCGAGGCCGTGCTGCTGCGCGCAAGCCCCGGGCCGCGGGTCCGAGGGGGGCCGCGGGGTCCAGGGGCGGGGAATGGTGAGGTAGCGTCGGTCCGCCCACCGGGGGCTCGCGGCGTGTGTTTGTGTTTGTGTGGGACACCCCGCCCCCGCACTTCCGCACGGAGCGGGTCCCCTCCTCGTCCCCACCTGGAGCAGCTCTGACCGTTGTCGCTTCCTCCCTCAGTTCCTGCGTCCGCCGGGCCGCGTCCGCGCTTCCACGGACCCGCAGCGCGGCACCCTCGCCCGCCGAGCAGTGAGTTCCCCTCCGCCGAGCCGTCCGTGCTGCTCGCTCCCCCTTGCTTCTATTTATTTACTTTAAGCTGCTGGTAGGCAGAACGGAGAGCAGGTTGAACGCAGTCCTGTGCGAACCGCCTTGAGCCGAATTACCTTTCCTGCACTGTGTGTCGCTCCCCCTCGCCCGATTTCCCCTCTGTGCCATCAGCCAGATCGGTTGAAATTATGACTGATGGGAACTTGAAGGAGTGAAGTCTCTGCTCTCTGCAAAAGTAGCTGTCACTAAAAGTGAAACCACACTTTTTTTCTTTGCAGTGATCTCCCCTTATTTTTGTGTGTATGTGTCTGTAAACTTCACTTTTTATAATCATGCTAGGTATTTCGGCAGGAAAGAAAGTCTCCGCCCGTGTGTCTTGGAATTGTGCAGTTTCATCACGTGAAAACTATTTTGTTTCTTTCATAGAATTTATTAACATAAGGTACAGTTGGTTCAAAGTAAATAAAGCTTCTGCTTTCCTTCATTTTCTTCTTATAAAAATCACTTTTTCTTCCATGAAGTCATTATAATCCAATTTAAATTTAACACTGAAAGCCAAAGGCAAGACAGTGAGTACAATGAGCTTACTCTGTAATAAAAGGTTTGTCACTTTTTTTTAATGCAAGGTACTTTGAACTGTTGGCAGATGTATAAATTTATTTAAATTCCACATGGTGCCTGTTTGGCCAGTAGGAATTATACCACATCGCTCTTCACTATTCATTTCATTAGAAATTCTCTTGCCCTGTGTTTTTACTTCAGGGTACTAAAACATTTGTCTTTTTCTTTCTCCTTTCCCTTCCCTCAACGGTTTCTGCCTTCCTGCCTTTTCTGATTTCTCTTCCTTCATATTAACCTCTGATGTAATGTGTTAAAAGATTGGCTCTCTCTACATGTATGTAATACATACAGTATGTGAATATATGCATACATAAAAACGTTACTGAGTCCTTTAGCCTACTATTAATAATTCGAAAGTATAATTATTAGTGATTTGGAGCCATAAGATAGAATAATAAAAGTAGGATACAGCTATATAAAATTGGTACTTACCATTTTAATCTGTTAGTTTGACTTATATGTAGGACTTTGTTCAGGCCAAAAGATGGACCTTATCCTTATTATCCCTGTGTTAACTTAAAAAGCACAAATTTTAAATAGCATGAAAATGAGAAAAATCACTTCTAGAGAGACATCCAGTTTAAGAATTTTATTACTTTTGAGTTTTCACTGGAAGAGATAGAACAACAAACATTTTCATAATAAATACATGAGGTAGGAGTAGAAAAAATACATTCATACTACTGCTTTCTTTTATTTTCTTTTACTGGAGAATATTCCCTACTGATTATGTATTTGTGTGCTTTTGAAATATGTGTTAAATTTTTTTGGTGCACCTCGCAGAAAAATGACTTAGATTGAAAAAATATATTAAGAGAAGAATGAGTTTGTATACTATTTACAGAAGACATAAAAATGTTAAATGGTATTATAAAAGTTTAGTAGTAAGCCCAACTTAGAGTGACAAACATTAGTGTTGTCTTCGGGAGTTATTTTAACAAGTGATTATTTCTTGATAATACTGGCAAAAGTTCAGAGACACAGGGCTTAAACTGCAGAGAGTAAGTTTCTGGAGTGCAGTTTGTCAAAATGTATCCAAAGCCTGAGCCTGTGCTTTTGTCCCAGCAGTTCCTCTTCTAGAAACTGTATCATAAGGAAATGAGGATGTAACAATGTAGCAAGAATAATCTTTACTGCATTGTTTACTGGTTAGATGAAGCAACATGCATGTACTATGAAGCATACTCAGCTATTAAGAATAATGTAGAAATCTGACCGAGATGATTTATGGTGATATACAGAAAGTTCTATGTTTTTTTTTTTTTTTTTGGTACCAGGAATCAAAAGGACCTTACCTTGCCAGGGAGGTGCTTGTGCCACTGAGCTATGTCCCCAGCCCCAAAACGTTTTAAATTGTAATTCTAATTTTAAAAAAATTTTAAACTTTTTTCCTTTTCTGCATTCCATAACTAAACATCAGTTCCTATATATTTTACCAAATATGCCTAGGATCCACCTTTCTCTGTCCATTAGAACAACTGTCCTCTCAATTGTAGCTTTATAATTCTCCACTTGAAGTTTTGAAAGGATTTTTAGAACTGTTTATCTTAGTCATGTTCTTGTCACCAGGACACAGTATCTTAAAAGAGGCAAGGTTTATTTTGGGTTTGAATGTCTTTTTTTTTTTTTTTTTTTTGTTTTTTTCTCCGGTACCGGGAACCCAACTCACGACCTTGCGCTTGCCAGGCAGGCGCTTTTGCCGCTGAGCTAAATCCCCAGCCCCGGCAAGGTTTATTTTGGCTCACAGTTTGTAGAGGTTTCAGTCCATATTTGCCTGGCTCTATGGCAAGGCAGCATGGCAGAGGAGGAACAGCTCATGGCCCGGTAGCAGGAAGCAGAGAGAAATCAAGGGCAGAAGAAAGGAGATACACCCTTTCAGGCCACACCCTCAGTGATCCCTGACCTCCAGTCAGGCTTTACCTCCCAACAGCACATTTGGCTATGTGTGTATCAGTGGACTGATCCAGTGATGAATACCATATCCCTGTGATCCAGTCACCTCCCCAAATCCCTAAAGCATGAGGCTTTAGGGGGACATTCTGATACAAAACATAACACTGGTCTTCCTGTATTGTTTTATCTGTGGTCTTTCACACTATCACCAGATACTGCTTTCTACTATGTAAGTCTTAGGAAGTTTACCCACTGTGTAAAATATTTGTAATGATGCCTGTCACCTACAGTGTAAAAATACGAACTCCTTTCCATGAGACAAAGTAATTTAATTAGAAAAAATATAACTAGAAAATAGTTACAGCAGCAACAGAAGTAGCAGTTAAATGCATGCTGAGCATTTAAAATATATTTTTATATTAACTTCTGAAACTTTAATATCTTCTTACAGGGTAGGAAATGCTAATAGATGTATATGTTTAGAGGCTGTGCTTTTACTAGTTTAGAAAAGGGAAGTTGAGTGTACCAGAGGCCAACTTCACCAAATGCTTGGTCATTTCATGTCAAATGACAAATAACGTGGGTCGATAAAAGGGACAGTTTCAGTGAAGGAAGTAACAAGCAAAACTAGATAGTTTGCTGGGATTGCCACACAAAGTACCATAGACTTGGAATTTAAATAAAAATTTCTTCAGTTCTAGAGGCTAGAAGTCAAATATGGCTACCTTTTTCCCGTGTCTTCACAGGGTTGTCTCTTTATGTCTATATGTGTCCTAACTCCTTATTTTTATTTATTTCTGTGGTACTGTGTAGTGAACCAAGGGCTTTCACACTGAACTATACCCAGTCCTGTCTTTGTTTTTGTATTTGTTTTGTTTTTTTATTTTTGAGACAGTCACTAAGTTGCATGCCCTCATCTAGAATTTTAAATCCTCCACCTTTCCCTTCTGTGCTGAGATTATAGGCATATGCCCCAATGGCTGGCTTCCTCAGTCCTTACGGGGACACTAGTCATTGGATTTAGGGTCACTTATGCAACTTTATTTTACCTTAATTAAATCTTTATAAGCCCGTGTCCAAATACAGTGACATTATGAGACATTGGAAATTAGGATTTCAACATAATGAATTTGGGAGGTGAGTGCATACTGAATTCAGTCACATCAGAGGTATAGGCAGAAATGAGTATGAGCCACTGACTGGAATCAGAATGGACTGATGGGATTTATGTAGATTAGGGTGTTAGGATTTTGAAATGTTTTAAATGCCAGGCTGAGGAATTCACATGATGGTTTTAAATAAATCATGCCTAATCCAGCCCATTCCCAGTGCTTAGTTAGTACCCTAGGAGGATGAAAAATCACATTAGACTAGTTTGTACTGCATCTCTACACTTTGTGTCATATCCATTCCTGTCACCTGACATGACTGTTCTTATCCTGTCAAAATAATTAGTTATATATCTTACAAATCATTTCATAATTAAAATGCCATGTATGTTTTTAATCATCTAAGTCAATTTAATACAATAAACTATTTCCCTATATCATGTAGAAGCAGCAACAAAACACTTATGCTCTGCTTTCTGAGGTACTGTGGACCCTCAAGTTCCGACCAGCCTCATGTAAAAACAACTTGGATTACAACCAGAATTTTAGGTTTAATTTACGACCAAAGTGTTGAATTACAAGTGGACCGCTGGCCGCTTGTGCAGTTGTAAACAAAGATTTGCGATGCCAGAAAAGTGTATATAAGTGTATGTAAGCATCAGTCTGAGTCCAGATACCTAATGTTTTTACCCTTCCAAACATTAACCACCTTCCATTTTATCCTCCTTCATGCCAGCCAAAGATGTCAATTTGATTGGTGAGTACAGTATGAAGTTGTTGTTTCTGGTAAACCGGGCATAGTTTATAACTTTTTTGGTGCCTGCAGTAGGAAAGTTATTGGTGTTTCTGATATATTATGCACATTATGCAACCCCTTTTTTAATTATGAAAAGGTTAAAATGAAAAGGGAAAAATAGTCTTGAGTTACAACCAGCCCTCGCAAAAGAATTGAGTTTGAAGTCCAGAGTCCACTATATTTCATTTTAGGTGAATATTTAAATACATGATTAAGATATTTTCTCTATCAGAATACCATATAATATATGAATTACAAATAACAAATTATAAGTTAACTTTCATTTTAAAAATAGTGAAATTACCTCCTCCTAGAAATTTATAACAGTAACTCAATTTAAAACTAATCGTCTAGTATATTTTTGCTGGCAATAAAAAATTGACATCTGTTAAAAAGGGAAACATAGGTTAAATATTAAAATAACAGAAATGAACACAACTTTTTCATATGTATTGCAAGTCAATACAAGACCTATCTGTGCCTCTTAAATTGTAATGACTAGCCAGGCATGGTAGCGCATGCCTGTAATTGCAACACTTGGAAAACTGAGGCAGGAAGATCGTTGTGAGTTCGAGGCCATCCTGGGCTACAGAGTGATCTCAAGGCCAGCCTGAATTGCATAGCAAGAACCTGTCTCAAAGAGACAAAAAAAAATTCTAACGATTAGTGGTGATGATTAAAATGCTAAATATTCACCTATTTTTTTAAAAAAACAACTTACCCTTGAAGTAAAAATACACTCATAAATGAAAATGAAATGAAATAATGATTAAGTATATGTAAGCCTAAGAAAATTGCTGATTTGAAAGAGGCAATCTAAAAATTATTTACTTTAAAAGATTTTTTTTAATACAATGAAGTACTCAGCCATAAAAGGTAATAAACTTGAGACATTATAGCTAAAAGGATGGACCTGGAGACCATACTCCTTAAGTGACATAACGTGGATATGTGTAAATATTTTATTGTCTCTGGTGTCAGAAACTGAAAGGGTAAAAACCAAAAGTATAATAGATACTGTGAAATAAATTGTTCAAAAGGGAAAGGGAAGGGGTGGGGGATATGAAAACAAAAGGCTAAAATGGAAGCAAAGTTTTGTAAATAAGGAGGGAAAGAGGTTGAAAGGTGGGGCGGGGAGTGGGAAAAAAAGAGGAACTAAGATACATCATGTACAGGTACAAGTTCCCTATGATGAATGTGCTCGTGTGTGTGTGTGTGTGTGTGTGTGTGTGTGTGTGTGTGTGTGTGTAAATTATACCAATAAACTTAATCAAAAATTGCAAACAAAAAAATCCTTTGCTTAGGTTTTATTTTATAATTTTTGCTCTGAGGAACTGTTTTTATGTTTAAAATTTTCACTTTGCATTTTTGGCTTTATATTTTATTTTTCATGATTTTATAAAATTTTTCATATTACAGATTTTTCATAGATGAAACAGCTCATCAAATTGTTTCCACAAAATTATGATACGTGCTTACTCTATTTTTTGTTGCTAATGCAGCACAGTTCATGAAAAAAAAGAAAACCTTAAACATTGAACATAGAACCTGCTCCAGGGTACAGTAAGTTAAACATGAGTGTGCAAACGTACAGCCGAATCAACATACTTCTGCATGCTTGCAAACATCACAACATGGGGAAAATGAATAGGAGAGACAATTCAGTTCTTAAAGGATTAAATGGGAACCTTAACATACTATATTTTTTCTAACAATGCTGGAAAACAAAAGTCCAAGTCTGGTACAGAAAATTACACACATTTGTTTAGTGCACGTCAGAAACAGCTTTTGGATCAAAAGTAAGTACTGTAACTTGGTTGAGCAATTTGTTTCAAAAAGGAATCTCCTGTTGATTATCTAGTTAAACATAAATAGGCTAGTTCTCAAAACCTGTATTGGAAATATACAGAGGATACATTTAAAAGTTTCATTTAAATAAAATAGTCATGATCACAAGACTGTGCAGTAAGAGCCAACTGTTTCACTAAGTTACCAAGATGCCTTAAGTTGTTTAAGAAAAGTCTGCAACAGGTTAAGGATACTAGCATTCAACTGTGAAATCATTGAAAATAAAGCTTTTAGCTTGCTTTCCCAGTCTATATAACAAATTCAGTGCAGTGAACCAAAATATGGATCATAGGCTTAGCTCTATACATATTTTTGGAAAATGCACAAAATCATGAAAGTATAATATCTAAAAAATTTTTTTAGGGCTAGGGATATAGCTCAGTGGCACAGTAGCTGCCTGGCAAGCACAGGTTCTAAGCTCAATTCCTGGTACCAAAAACAATTTTCTAAAGCCCAGAACATAATGTACTTTAACTGAAACATTGACCATTCTAAAATGAGTGTCTATGCCATCTTTTTGGGAGAAGGGGACATGTTCAATTGTTTCTATCCTTTTTAAGATCACTTGGTGAGTCTAAATCTTTCATGTATAGGTTGAACTTACTGTTAACTTTTAAAAGCACTATATATTGCATGAGGAGGCTTATTAAAACTTAGCCTCGGTATTTTGTGAAATCTCATAGTGATGACCACAGGAACATTATAAGACATACCCACTTCACTTTTCCTAAATTTGTATATTTTCTGTAGCTTTTTTAGAATTGTATTCCAGATGTGAATGTAAAAGCTATTAATACAGTGAGTTTTAAGAATAGAAAAATGCTTCTTTACCTTAATGTGAAGTTCTGTTCTGACTCAATATTCATTTGTCATTCAAGTGTAATTAAGTTTCAGTTATGTGCCGGGCATTATATTTTGTCTGTCAGAGATAGGAACACCAAACTTTTTCTCAGTTCTCATACATTACTAAACAACTCCTGACAACAGTTGTGTGGGATTATACCCCACATATGCCCAGCAATCAGTTCTCCAGCCTACACTAGTAATTCTGACCCTACACATGGCCCTGTGCTCAGGTGTAATTTGCTAGAGTGACTTACAGAACTATTTATGTTTATCCATTTTTATATAGGATATTGCCAAGGATACACATGAACAGCCAGATGGAAGAGGTATGTAAGAAAGGACATGGAAATTTCATGTCTTCTTCAGGTGTGCCGCCTCATAGGTGTCTCCGTGTGTTCAGTTACTGAGAAGCTCTCTGAATCCAGTTTCTTTAAGGTTTTTATGGAAACATCAAAGCATAAACATGATTGGTGACATCACTGACCATTGATCAGAGTAAGCGCCAAAGATTCAGCGGGGAGAGTCCTGAAAATTCCAACCCTCTAATCACGTGACTGGGTTCCCCCTGGCAGCCAGCTCCTAACCTGAATCTATAGAAGCCCACCAGGAGTGACCTCAGTAGAACATAAGATTTTTGAACAGGAAATTCTGGGAGATTTAGGAGCTCTGTACCAGAATCCAGAGACAAAAATCAACCATAAATATATCTATGTAGATTATTACCCATTGTGATTAACATATTGTCACTTAGTTCTCAGTGATGGGGTGTAGTATAATCATGTCATTCCCCAGTCTTGTTGTATGCCATGTGTATGAACCAGATCTTTTATAGTTCAACAAAGGGGGTATACATAATTTGTATGCCAGGCAGCTCTGAGCTGTTGGTGGTACATGCATGACTGTCCATTGAGCCGCATGACAGTCCCATCGAGCCGCATGACAGTCCCATCAGGTGGTACAAGCCACCCAGTGGGACAGTCATGCATGTACTGCTGCTGAGAACATGTTAAGCTTGTATGACATATTGACCTCAAATATGTGGTGAATTTCTGTTATTACTCATCATCTTTGGAATTTGTTAAGCACAGCAGTATTAAAGTGACCTAATGTTCTGAGCTGAACACTAAAGATGTTGCTACTCTCCATTGCTTCCATTGGTCACTATCTTGTGTATAATAAAGTATGTTCTAAAATAATTAAAAGTCCATTGAATGAATATGGAAGAATTACATGAGGAAAATTCTGATTCAACTGTTGTATTCTCATTGAACATTATATGCTCTTCCTTAGTTTTCAGTAATACAGGAACATCTTTTAAGAATTGCTGTGGATACGCAGTGTGATATGGAGTTAACACGTGCAAATATAAAACTAGGTATACACTTACGCTTTTAGCACTTTTTTAACTGTTAGACTTTCTTCTTGCAAAAATTAGGAAGAAAGTAAATATTTACAATGATAACAATTTAGATGTAACAGAGAATGTTGTTTTTCTGAGTTAAATCATGACTAGAAATTAAGACAATACAGGTTTATTGTGATAACTCAAAAGTGCTCACTTAGTTTTCCCACTAGTTTTCTCTTTGTAATTTTTAAAACCTTTGTTCCAGAAACAAACAGTTACAATGTTTGGCCTTTCATGCATTATACATCATTTATGTATCCTATATCATAGCCCAGGAGAATTTAATTTATGTAACTTGGCTCTCAGTCTTATGAAAATATGGAGACAAGTCAGTGAGATCATTTATATTTTTACATCTTCCTTGTGACCTAAAATTATTAATTTTAGATGATTTTTTTTTTTTTTTTTTTGGTTTTTCTCCGGTAACGGGAACCGAACTCACGACCTTGCGCTTGCCAGGCAGGCTCTTTGCCGCTGAGCTAAATCCCCAGCCCCAATTTTAGATGATTTTTGAAATACAAGTAAACTAAAGATTTTTATGAAAAATTACAGATATTAAACAATATATTAGTGCATCAACAGATTTGAGGTGTAAAGATTATGAGCTGCAAGTTTTTGAGTGACTAAGAATTTTATCCAGCTAGAACATGCAGCCTGTTTACCCTTAGGCAAATTACTTAGCCCCTCTAAGCCTCAGTTTTACTACATCAGATTTGTGCATAGCAGTATTACTGTGCCTTTCAGAGCTGGAAATACTTTGTCAGATGTCGTATGGAAACATGGAATGAAGCAAGTATTAATAGTTGCTGTGGTGATAAGCTTTTATGTGGAAGACTACATGTAATCTAAGATTTCTAAGTGGAAAAGCATAATAATTACTAATAAGGCACTTGAAAGAGAAAATATAGAATATATAAGTGGCTGTTAATTACAGAAATGTGCTAGCTGACTTACATACTTTCTGTTGAGATATGAAAACTGATCAGGTAAGGTAAGCATATTGCTAAGTGATTACAGTTGGTACTATTGACTAGTGATCATGTTCTATTTTGCTACCATCTGAACATTTTAAACAGTTCCTAAATAAATACGTTAACTAATCCTTTTAGCTTATGTGATGGTACACCTTTCACAATTACTACAAGAGTTTTTAAAGACCTATTACAGCTAGGTGTAGTGCCATACTTTGGGAAACTAAGGCAGGAGGATTGCAAGTCAGAGCCCACGCTGGGTAACTTAGTGACTTAGCAAGACTCTGTTTCAAAATTTAAAAAAAAAAACTTCTTATAAAGGACTGGGGATGTAGCTCAGTGTTAAACCCCTGGGTTCAATCTCCAGTGCTGCAAAAATTAGGAGACCTGATAGAAGGACCTCACATATGCTAGGCAAACAGTTTATCACTAAGCTACTTCCCCAGCCCAAAATGCATCACTTATAAAAAGTGCTTACAAGAAGATAGCTACCAAATATTTGCAATAATTCTCAGACTACTTTACATTTTTAATACCTCACCATAAAGTAGCATCTGTAATCTTAATAAGGTTTTTTTAAAGCCATTGTCTAGAATAGAAGTAGAATTATGCCTCATAAAATACTTACTGTACTTTATTAATAATACTAAAGTTTCTGTTAGTATCTATTATGCAAGTTACTACAGCTACCATATCTTTGATAAAAGTACCCCTGGAGGAATATTTTCCTAAATCTTTTCCTTTTAATTAAGCAGCCTACAATATGAAGCAGTCACGTGTTAGTCTGTTGTCCATTGTTGTAATAAAATGTTTGAGACTGGTACTTGATCAAAAAAAATTTAGCTCACAGTTTTGGGGGTCCAAGAACGTGGCATAGACCTGTGCTAGCTCTAGTGAGGGCTCCATAAAAAACAGTATCAAAATGGTAGCAGTGTTGTGTGGAAACGCTCACATGGCAAAAGAAGAAGTCGGAGTAGGGAGGAGCCAGTCTTGCTCTTCTACACCTACCACTCTTGGGGAAACTAAGGTCTCACAAGAACTAGGTTAACTCTTCTCAAGTGTAGTAGTCTCAGTCACCCAACAACCTCCCACCAGGCTCTCCTTTAAAGTTCTGCAACCTCCCAGCATCACTACACCGAGAACCAAGTTTCCAGCACAAACCTGAAACCGTATTCAAAACATAACAGCCCATGTAAGTGAGCATGGAACCGTCAAATGGCAAAACCTAGAGAGTTAATTAATCACTCAGTTAACTCAGCAGCAGCCCATGAGAAGATATTTGATACGAAGTACAAGAGAAAGTCATAAAACAGCAGATTTCTAAATGGTAGGGAAGATCTGTTTGGCAGTCTGACCCAAAGTCTGGGAATCTTAATAAAAAAACAAAAATGCCCTCTTTCTGTGGTACCAGAGGGAAAAGTAAGTCTGTATTTTAAGTCAACATATACCACACATATTTATTACACTTATTTAATTTGAGTTTGCATGAATTTATATACTTTCTTATGGAAAAAGATTACAAACAGGAAGAGAATGAAGGAGAGAGGAACCCAGGATGGGTTTCTCCGTTCTTTGGTACATTAGTTTTGTAAGCAACTGATAAGTATTCTTTTAAAAATAAAAATACAGGGGCTGGGGATTTAGCTCAGTGGCAAAAGCGCCTGCCTGGCATGCTCAAGGTCGTGAGTTCGGTTCCTGGTACCGGAGAAAAAACAAAAAAAAAAAAAAAAATACAAAGGAATCCATTGTAAATTAAGCATAGGAAATGTGAGTGAAACCAAGTAAGTTTCACTATTGGAAAGTTGGCTGCTACTTGTGATATGCCAATACGTGTTCCTAAGCGGTTTAGTTCTTTTGTATTGAAGATTTAATATCTCACAAAACATGATACCTAACTACATTTGATAAGGGTACCATACTTGAAAGGCTGAATTCTGGGTTCCAACACTTACTTGAAGATTGAGAATTATCAACTTTAGTATAGTATAAAGGAGTGATATGGTATATGAATTGTATATCACAAAAGATACTTTAAACAGGACCAGATGAGAGATTTCTTATTGCGAGTTTTACAATACGTTAATCAAGGTGTTAAGCTAACACTTAAAAACAGCTGTACTGGGCCGGGGCTATAGCTCAGTGGCACAAGCGCCTGCCTGGCAAGTGTGAGGTCCCAAGTTTGATTCCCAGTACCCAAAAAAACCCAAAAGCCCTGAAAAGCAGCCATACTATACAGGGCTGATTAAAAAAAAAGTTTTTAAATTTTGTAAAAATATTTTGGCAAAAGACATTGCCATTAATCCCCTTTAGAATATCTTCTTGCTTCACACAGTTACACCATCTTATTGCCACTTTGTGAGTGTCCTTTTTCATGAGTATCTTTACAGCAGTTACCAAAACTGGTACATGCTGCTACCAAGTGCCATCCAATGGTAAGGCAGGCTTATAAAAATGCAGTGTGTCCTCAGCCACCTTATTCACTGGATCTGGCACCATGTAACTTTGGGCTCTTCTCCAAAGTTAAAATGACCATGGAAGCTAAATGTTTTGAATGAATCAGGGTGTCAAGGCCACCACAACAGACAGCACAACTGAAGACATTTACGAAAGACTTCCAGAACTGCTTCAGAAAGCGGCAAGAATGATGAGATACGTGTGTTTGAAGAGAGGGGAGTCTTGAGAGGGGTTAGTGGCAATGTGTCTTTTACTGTAGTGTAATAGTTTTTTAAAACTTAAATATTCACTTTTTATTACACCTCCTAGTTACAGCTCAGTTGTTTTTGTACATGCATGTATCCTGTAACTTTGAGAGTTTTCTCATTGCCCCATAATGATTGTGCTGCAAAGCAGAGAATATAATGTATTAAATGCTCCTTATCATAAATTAAAACAATGTCAAATAGCCTAATAGTATTAAACTAAGTAACGTTACAGTCAGCCCTACCACCATCACCACCACCTCTTAGTCAAAAATTAGTAGGAATAAGAGATCAAAAAAGGCCCTTTAGGGAAGCTGTGTTTGTGGATAAGGGCACGTCCTGGTATGTAGTTGGGAGTGAGGAGGGTGTTCGAAGAGAGTTCTAAAGTTTGTGATTCCTAGTAGAAGGGGAGACACATAGCTTTTGAATATTGGCTTGGTAGGAAACTTGCTGAAATCCTGGAGCTGTGTAGGGGAAAATAATTTGAAAGACATGGTAGACTGAAAGAGGCTGTGGTGAATTGACAACTGGTGATTAACTTGTAACCCCAGCTGAACTGAATCAGCATGGCGCTGGGTGTGGAGGGCCCACCTGAGGATGGTTGCCAACAGCATGAAAAGAACTGGAGGGGAAGAGGATATGCTGTCAATTCCTCTGGAGAAGCCTGTTGCGCTGACTTTCCTGATATGAACTTGGCTGTTCTCATCATCGGAGGAGTTGAGGACCTCACTGTTGCTGAGGATGGCTACAGTGATTTTGAGCGTGGCTCTGGTCTTTCCTTTGAGTGTTGCTTCCTGGCTCCAGGGCAGATCCCTCAGCCTGGTGGCGCAGATCCTTTATCCTACTGCCACAGACTTTCTAGCTTCCACCACTGGCCTTTAGGCTTTCTCAGTGCAGATCCTTGCTGCAGGCTTGCAAGAGACATTGTGGTGGACTCTAGGCCCCCAGTTGGACTCAATGGAGGGCATTGCAGTGGGATCCAGGCCCTCAGCTTGGTTCTTTGGGTCTCTAGTGTGTGGATAGATCTCCCGCACTTTTGCATTTAACTGTTCTGCTGAATATTATAAAGCTATCTTAAAAGTTACATGTCCTGTATTTAATCCTTTCCCTGGCAAACCCTG